GCACACAGAAGTCTCTTTATGCTTGGAGAATTGACAAATGCCTTTCAAAACCATTCCAGTCCAACACTCATACTGAGAGGATATAAAAACTAAGTCTGTAAAAGTCATTCTTAAAAATACTTGCCCCCGATTGTATAACATGTTAATGACAAAGCCAGGATTAGAATTCTGTATTCTTGATTGCCCATTCACATTCTCAGTCCATTACACCACAGAGGCTCTTATACCTAATACCCTGGGCAGGCAACACTACTGATGAGTAAGGCACAGAAACCTTTGTGCTCTAAACATCATTTGGTTGGCTGCCTAGCTCCCTGTGTTCCTTATCATAGAAACCCTCCCATAAATATGCCTGGTTTATACATACCTTCTGTAGGACTGCAAGAACAGAACCCAAAATGGAATTCTACAGCCAGAGCAAAAACAAACAATTTATTCTCAAAGATGAGGGTCAAGTTTTACAAAGGCCAAGCCACAGATACCAGCCAAATTTCCATGGTTCAGCTACTGCTGAATCAAATATTCTGCTAAACAGAGCTCCAATGTATATGGTTTCTTAAATTTTATTTTGGGGTTTCTTTAATGCAAATATTTTTAAAATAGAGCTTCTGAGCACATGTAAAAAGTAAATGGGAGCCCTAGCCGGTTTGGCTCACTGGATAGAGCGTCAGCCTGCGGACTGAAGGGTCCCAGGTTCGATTCCAGTCAAGGGCATGTATCTTGGTTGCGGGCGCATTCCCAATGGGGGATGTGCAGGAGGCAGGTGATCGATGTTTCTCTCTCATCGATGTTTCTAACTCTCTATCCCTCTCCCTTCCTCTCCGTAAAAAATCAATAAAATTATTCTTTTTTAAAAAGTAAATGGTATCTTATATGCATGTATGCATTACCTATGGACACAGACAATAAGGTGGCGAGGGCCTGGGGTGGGATGGGAACTGGGAGGAGGGGAGCTCTGGGGGGAGAAAAAGAGGGACATCTGTAATAATCTCAACAATATGCAAATTGACTGAATGGCAGAATGACCGGTCGCTATGACGTGCACTGACCACCAGGGGACAGATGTTCGATGGGGGAGCTGCCCCTTGGTGGTCAGTGCATTCCCACAGGGGGAGCACTGCTCAGCCAGAAGCAGTGGCAGGAGCCTTTCCTGCCTCTGAGGCAGCGCTAAGGAACAGCAAGCTTGGCCTCTGGCTGAGCGGCTGTCCCACAGGGGGAGTGCTGCTCAGCCAGAAGCCGGGCTCATGGCTGGTGAGCACAGCATCAGTGGCGGGAGCCTGTCCTGCCTCCGCTGCAGGCGGGCAGTAAGGAGTGAGGGGTCCCAAACTGCGAGAGCCCTGGACTGTGAGAGGGATGTCTGACTGCCAGGTTAGGCCCCATTCCTGGGGGAATTGGGCCTAAGCTGGCAGGCAAACATCCCCCAAAGGGTCCTGGATTGTGAGAGAGCACAGGCCAGGCTAAGGGACCGTCCCCCAACCCCGTGCACAAATTTTGTGCATCGGGCCTCTAGTATATATATAAAAGTAAATGAGAATTTTCAGAGGTGACAAAGGTGATCTAAAATTGGATTGTGGTGATGATTACACAACTCCATAAAATTATTTTTTAAATATTTAAATTATACACTTAAAATGGGTAATTATTATAAATTATACTTTAATAATAATTTAAAAATTTAAATATTTTTAAAATATTACAGTGTGAAAATGAGTCAGAAAGTTAAAGTATTTCTTTTTGTAAACACCTAGTATCAAAACTGTAAAGACATTTTAAAATATCCCCATACTTTTTTAAGGCCAGGTTTTATCTACTTCAATCCTGGTTTACCTACAAGGTCAAAAGTTTTTCCTGTAATTTTGGTAAAAAAATAATTTAGTAGACTAATATAAATATCTTGGTGTAGCACTGCAACACTAAGTTGTTTGACTGATTATCTGCATAAATAACCTATAGATATATGTGTTTAATTAAGCATAATGTTCTAGTCCAAAACCTGTCATTTACCATTGGGTTTTCAGCAAGTTACATATCTCCAGACCTTGGTTTTCCCACCTCTATCATGTGTCCCTATGGACCAGATGAAAATTAAATAGCATATAATACAGTATAAAGAATAGTAATTGCTACTATGTATTGAATAGCCAAACACCAATATGCCAAACTGTTTAAATTATTATCCTACAAGGAAGGTATTATTATTAGTTACTTTTTTGCAGATGAGGAAACTGGAAAATAAAGTTCATTAGTTTGACCAACGTCACACAGTTATTTAATAGGAGACCTAGGATTTTAATCCAAAACTGTTCAGCTCCAAAGCGTATACTCATTCTCCATCCCTCACTCGACTTTGAGCTTTTGATTCTATCAGATGTGGCCATGAATCCTGACATTGTCTTTACTATGGTAAGTTAGTCACCTTCTGAGTCCAGTTTCCTAATCTATACAATGAGATCACCAATATTTAACTCTCGGGGTCGTTGTGAAGATTAAATGAGAGTGATTCCCCTACTGGTATAATTAGAAATTACTCAGTAATATTCTATCTCATCCCTCTCCCATACATGCTCCTTCCTGTGCTTAAAAATATCTATTTTAAAAACCTCTATAAATTCTATGATTTCCTTATAGCCTACCTGGATAAACCTCCCTGGGACTGAGTTCTATCAAAAGCAATTAAAGTGAACACAAACAACACAGCATTAATCCTTTGCTATCAGTCATTGGCTCTGTGACGGAGATAGTCAACAGGAGTGTCAACTTCAAGGGGTGGGCATCTGTCCACAGGAACTGAGCGAGCTGAGGTCACAGACTTGTCTCACTCTGCCCTACAAACAGATGTCTGGGTGACAACTCTTAGTCACTGCAAACCAGGGTTAGAGCCAAACCAGGTGGGAAGTGCTGTATCTCCTTCCTTTTCCTCTTGGCCAGCCCATTCATTCCCTAAAACAATAATCACTGACCATAATTTAAAATCACTAGTTTTACCCCATTCATTCCCTAAAACAATAATCACTGACCATAACTTAAAATCACTAGTTTTACCCCAGAATACTACTTTCAACATAATGCCTTTATTTTGATGATATCTAATTATTCCACAAGCTTAAAGTGTTTCTATAATAGTGATCCGTCAACAAGAAACCTGTTTGATTCTGTGTAGTGAAATGTGCACCTTGAAATATTTACCTCTCAAACAACCTGGTGAAAACTGATGTAATGTGGAGCTCTAGTGGTGCAAGAAAGTAAAGCAGCCATTACTGAGGGCCAACAAAACAGCCAAGGAAATCACCATTTATTATTTATTTGTTATTATGGTGAAATCGCTGTTTATTATTCAGTTAATATGTTAAGAAGAAAAATGATTCAAAATGATATTCCAAGATAATGTAAGGTAAACCCTAAATATAATGTATTTCTTCTAGATTACATATTAGACCTCAACAGCTCGTTTATACCAAACATAATAAAGCAGTTAAGTTCACAAGTAATAAAACTCAGTGCTGTGGGTGTCACTTCTCTACTTTTTACCCAGTTCACTAAGAATCCTCTTACTTAAACACTAGTTGTTTGTCACACAGCTAACAAGAGTACTGAATAGAAAAAAATGCTGGGCTCTAAGTGTATATGACCAGTGAAGTTCTATACCAACTGATTTGAGAATTTAAATAATCCCTCCAAGCTGATGAGGTTTTGTGAGTTAATTCCTGCACTACAAAGTGTTTTCCTTGAATTTCTGACTTCTGAGGTCTTTTCCAATTTAAAGCAAGCAAGAATGAAACCTACAATGTCAAAACAAACATTAATGTTTCCCTGTTACCTAATGTATATGTCTTCTCAATTGAAAGGGCTTCATTTGCCAAAACTACAGTTCCATTATGGTCAGCAAAGTAGCAGAACATAAATAATAAAACTTGTATGCTGTACAACTGGGAGTTGACATTTAAAATTTCTAAATATGGTGCCTGATTTAGCTGTGTTATGGTGAGGAAAAACAAGTTATCATGAGAAAAAAAACTCAGAATATGAAAAATATAGGAAGTAAGCTTTCCATGTATAAGTATCTAAGCATCTTATGCCTGGACATTACAGAAAATGTAAGAGACTCACTTTTCCATAAGAGGTGGTAAAAGAAAGTAAATGTTCATAAATGCATTAACAAGATTTATCTGAAATAAATATCTCTACTGATGGCAGTTTTCCATGGCTTTGATCAGTTGAATCCACTAGATGTTTTCCAATAGACATACTCCAAGGGCTTCTAAATTGTTAGGTCTACAGATAACTGACTCCCGAACCTCAGAGGTCTACTGAGGAAGATTTAATGATTACCTAGAGATTTCATTCATTAATATCTCTTCTCTATCCTTCTACTAATATGTTGTCATTAATATAATTCCCTAAAGCTGAAGAGAAAAAAATGGTAAAAATATAAGAGCCTTTTCTGAGATGTCATTGAGAATGCAGTAGTTAGCAATGGGAAGCTCAAGGTAAAGAACAAATTTCCTTTAGCTAAAGAATGCAGAACCCTTTTTGATAGAAAAGAATAAAAGCAGGAGAGAAAGTTAAGGTCCTTTACTAACATAATCATATGTTAAAAGGAGCAAATGGAAACCTGTGCTAATCCATTTGCCACCAGGGAATTCAGAATCTAACGTGTTCTGCCGTCCTTTTCACAGTAGGCATTAAAATTGAATAAAATTGAACAATATTTTTCAATCTGTGAATCTAAGAATTTCATATTTGTACATCATCTGCCATATTTTCCATGGTGATTATCTCTCTCTCTTTTGTTCTCCCATAACAGACCTTGGTATGCTGCTTAAAATAATATTTGGGGCTTTATTTGCCATTCTTTTGACTGAGACATGTTGATTTTATTAAAGTGAGTTGGGTCTGCATTCTTTCTTTACTATTATTACAGGTAGACTTGACAGACACAGGACTTTTGTTTTAAAATGCTCTGCTATGGAGTCAACCTTGTTAAATAAGTTCCATTTTACCTGCTGGGCAGTTGCATTCTGAAGGTGCTTCTCTTGCGATTCTTATTTTAGCCATATGTTCATAGGATTTCTGCAGGGGGTGGAAAGAAGAGGTATTAAGAGTCATCAGTAGCATTGGAGAGAAATGGGTTCTTCAGGGATTCTCTGTCCATATGCTTGATTCACCAGCATTTGATAGCCTGCATAACTAAAGTTTACATATGTACTTTGGACTCAGTCAAAAGGTAACAGTACCCAAGCCCTAAAAAAAAAAGAAAATGATCATTGACATGATATCAAGACTGCTGAAAAAAATAGAAAAAAATAATAATAAATTAATTTTTAAAAAAAAGACTGCTGGCCTTGTATAACATCTTTCTCCATTGTTCAACTACCAACACCCACTACCTCAGCTCATACATATGCAGCCAATGCAAAAACCTGGCATTAACATGTTGCAGTTCTAGGTAAGTTATGTGTTTTAAAACAGCCAATACTTTATGCATGGAGGTCAACTGCTTATCATGTTGCGCTGCAACTACTGCCAAACAGCCTCTCTGTTAGAAAAGCAAGTTCCAGAAAACCTCCTAACTCCAGTCTAAAGCTGCCCCTGATTTTGATACATATTGCAGATTACTTTAAACTCTCAAGTCCAATGGCTCTGCATTCATAAACACCTCTGGCACTGCATCTTTTACCAAAAAAATTAAGCTATTTTTTTCTTTTTAAACATTTAATAGGAGACCATTCAATGTATGAAATAACTGGTTCTAAATCACATTCAGGGTTATTTTACTTTCAAGAGTGATTACCATTTGGATATTAATAGCACCTCTGGTCCTAACCCTCTTGAAGAACATAACAGAACAGAACAGATGTTATTCTGCAAGGAATATTCTCCACAAAATCGGTAAAGATTCATATGAGACTTTGGAAAACTAAGAGAAGCTATAATGCCACCCTGCCATTCTGGTCACCCTTCCCGCTTAAGAGCTCCAAATAGATTTAACATGCAAATATCCAGAAGAGTGAAGGAAGATGAGACACATAGAGAGGGTGGTATCAAAGGATGTGCATATACAGTACAAACATATGCCACCATGGATGGACGCCTAGCATATGTGCACACAGCCACACCAAGTATGCGGACAACAAGGGTAGGCTGGTCGTATACACAGAATCACTCCTGTGCGAGATGTTATGCACGTGCAAAATACCCCAGCTTTTCACACCTGAGCCAGAAGTCGCTCCACTTTCTCTTGCACCACTGCTTTGAGCTGATCCAGGCAATCGGGAAGCGGACGGATGGAAGGGTCCCCTTTGGCGGATTCGAGAGCGGCGATCCTCGCCTGCAGATCGTTGGTTTTCACCCCCAGGTACAGACAAGACATCACGGCCACCACTGACAGGAGGGCCGCCAGGACCGCGCCTGGGGGCACGGTGCGGGCACAAGACTGCCGGGCGGGGCTCGGGTCCTCGGAGCCCGGCTCTCCGGCCCCTCCTTTTCCTGCAGGCTTCTTCGGCAGCATCGTGGCGGGGTCCGCTGCCTCCCACCCTCTCCCACTTCCAATAATCGTAAAGGGAAAGAAAAAGGACGATTCCTCCAAAGTTCAGTCCGGTGGGCTGTACAACTAGTTGGTGGAGTGAGAGAGGGGCGCGCGCGGATGGACCCCCGCTCTCCCCAGTGCAGAGACCAGCAGTCCTGGACCGTCCTCCGCCTTCTTCTCCTCTCCTACCTGGGGGTGAAGAGCACCCTCCGTCTATGGACTGGTGGCCACAAGGCAAAAACCAGAAAGGAACCCAACTCGGATAGTCCTGCTGACACCCCCCTGAGGACGGGCACTTCGGAGGTCCCCGCGGGCGGCCGCCCAGGGGCCGGGGACCGTGAGAGACGGCTGCGGTGGCCGCCGCTCCCCTCGCCCCGCAACGCGGACCTGTTGCGTCTGCTAGTTTGCCTTAGGTCTGCCTAGCCGGTGTTTTTCCGCACGCCAACTGCCTCCCACCTGGACTCGGCGCCGGGCAAAAACGGCTGAGCGCGGCGGCGGGAGCGCAGCGCCAAAAGGGTACCGAGGGGCAGAGGCCAGAGGAAACGGAATAAGGAGCAAGAGCGAGCGGCGAGGCCGAAGTCGCGGCTGCCCCCAGGATCTCCGCAGCCTCGCGCGTGCAAGCCTTAAATACCCTTC